TTTGCAGGGCTGCTTCGTGTTCTCCCTGGTGAAGTACGTGCCGCTCACCTACAACAAGACCTACGTCTACCCCACCTGGGCCATCGGCCTGGGCTGGGCGCTGGCGCTGGCCTCCATGCTCTGCATCCCGCTGGTGGTCGCCGTGCGGCTGGCCCAGGCGGACGGGCCGCTCCCCGTGGTGAGCTGGGCGGCCCCGGGGGGCTCGCGCGCCCTCTCTGGTCCCTTGGGTTTTTTTTCCCCGTTCCTGGTTCTCCCCGGCTGCGCTGTGTGGCCTTAGGGAAGTTGCTCAACCTCTCTGATCCTTTGGGGTTTTTTTTTTTTCTTTCTTTTTTTCCATTCTTGGTTCTCCCTTGTGCTGTGTGGCCTCAGGGAAGTCGCTCAACCTCTCTGATCACTGAGATTTTTTTTTTTTTTTAACTCCCTGTTTCTCCTCGCTGCGCTGTGTGGCCTTAGATAAGTCGCTCAACCTCTCTGATACCTTAGATTTTTGTTTTTTTTTGGTTTCTTTCTGTTCCCGGTTCTCCCGGCTGCGCTGTGTGACCTCAGGGAAATCACTCAACCTCTCTGGTCCCTTAGATTTTTGGGTTTTTTTTGGTTTCTTTCGTTCCCGGTTCTCCCGGCTGCGCTGTGTGGCCTTAGAGAAATCGCTCAACCTCTCTGGTCCCTTAGGTTTTTTTTTTCGTTCCTAGTTCTCTCGGCTGTGCTGTGTGACCTTAGAAAAATCACTCAACCTCTCTGATCCCTTAGGTTTTTTTTTTGTTTTTTCTGTTCCCGGTTCTCCCCGGCTGCGCTGTGTGACCTCAGGGAAGTCGCTCAACCTCTCTGGTCCGTTAGGGTTTTCTTTCTTTTTCTGTTCCCGGTTCTCCCCGGCTGCGCTGTGTGACCTCAGGGAAGTCGCTCAACCTCTCTGATCCTTTGGGTTTTTTTTTTTTTTTTTTTTCTGTTCTCGGTTCTCCCTTGTGCTGTGTGACCTTAGAGGAGTCGCTCAACCTCTCTGATCACTGAGATTTTTTTTTTTTTCTTTTTTTACTCCCTGGTTCTCCCCGCTGCGCTGTGTGACCTCAGGGAATTCGCTCAACCTCTCTGGTCCCTTAGATTTTTTTTTTCCCGTTCCTAGTTCTCCTGGCTGCGCTGTGTGACCTCAGGGAATTCGCTCAACCTCTCTGATCCCTTAGATTTTTGGGTTTTTTTGGTTTCTTTCTGTTCCCGGTTCTTCCGGCTGTGCTGTGTGACCTTAGAGAAATCGCTCAACCTCTCTGATGCCTTAGGTTTTTTTGTTTTTCCCCCCGTTCCCAGTTCTCCCTTGTGCTGTGTGGCCTTAGGGAAGTTGCTCGCCCTCTCTGGTCCCTTAGGTTTTTTTTGTTTTTTCTGTTCCCGGTTCTCCCGGCTGCGCTGTGTGACCTCAGGGAAGTCACTCAACCTCTCTGATCCTTTGGGTTTTTTTTTTCTTTTTTCCGTTCACGGTTCTCCCCGGCTGCGCTGTGTGGCCTTAGAAAAATTGCTCAACCTCTCTGGTCCCTTAGATTTTTTTTTTTTTTCCGTTCCTAGTTCTCTCGGCTGCGCTGTGTGGCCTTAGAAAAATCACTCAACCTCTCTGATCCCTGAGGTTTTTTTTGTTTTTTTCTGTTCCCGGTTCTCCCCGGCTGCGCTGTGTGGCCTCAGGGAAGTCGCTCAACCTCTCTGATCCTTTGGGTTTTTTTTTTTCTTTTTTTCTGTTCTCGGTTCTCCCTTGTGCTGTGTGACCTTAGAGG